TTTGTGTTGTTCAAAGACAAAAGCATGATCATCATCATCATCAGCATCATCATCATAGAAAACATGGATCATCCTATCATTCAAGAGATCATTTTTAATCATTAAATAAATATAGTTATACAAGCAAAAATACATTCAATAGTTTTATTAACAATTTTGTCTAGAGAGTCCTAAGATTATATTTCGTCTATAACTGGAGATACCTCAATGTTCCATCGGACATTTAAAGGATATTTGCGCACACGAAATAACTGCAGCGTTATATAATAAACGAATATTTTAGAATAACGTAGGCAACGAACACGATAAAACGTAGAACGAGGATTTATACGATGATAGATTTTAAAAAACTGTATAAATTTAAAATATTTATGGTGAAGAAAGACGTTTGGAAGAGATAGTTGTGGCAAGTATTAGACAAAAGATAATCATACCCGTGAGATACAGGAAAGCAATATTCAGCACTGAACTTCTGATGAAGCTAATCTATAGATATAATTCAAAGTCTCTGGTTTGAACCAGCAAACCAGAGCAGTGATCTTGGGGTATGCTCACTCCACCTAAGATCATACGAAACGAGAACACCAAGACAGCACTAAAAAAACATGACATAGACAGAAGTAGCACTCAAATACAATACAAAAAAAGGAAGAGATGGACAAAAAAAAGTAGGAAAAGAAGATTTGATACATTCAAAGACATGAAGTAGATCATGTTGAGTTAGAGATAATACAGTTTTAAATATGATAAAAATCGGAAGAAGAAGATATACAATTAAGAAACACCATTAGCTGACAGGCAGGCTCACAAATAGGTGAAAAGAAGAGGTAGATTGAGTAAAAACAAAAACAACAAAACAAAACATAGTAGGATGATTTAGAACATAGGCTACCGCTACGATTCTGATCATTTTTATAAGACATTTAGTGTCACCATTTTGCTAAATCATACAATAAAAATGAAGTTTTTTGTCTTTCAATATATGTATATATATCCATAATGAGAACCATGATGGAACTTCAATAGTTTTAATGAGAGATGTACAATATTGGACAGAAAAGAGCTTAGGTATTTTCAATATTTGTTTATTTTACTGGACCAAGCGGAAGATAAAAAACGATTGCCGTGTCTGAATCTCATGTTTTTCCCAATTGTTCAGTATCAAAGTTCTTTTTCTAATAACAAAATACTAAAGGGTAGCTCTATTGCCATCATCGGTGGTGCCAATAAGGAGCTATTGACACCACAAGGGGTGTCAACTACAGCTATTGTCACCATCCACTATCAAGCAAAATCAAAGAGTAGGTTTTTGTCAATTAGGACTAGTGACACCATCAAGCTAAATTAAAGAAAGTGTTACGACAATTTGGGCTATTGACACAACCTACTCTTTGATTTTGGTTGATAGTGGATGGTGACGATAGCTCCTTGTTGACACCTCCTGATGGTGGCAATAGCCACTCCAAATACTATACCTGAAACAGTCACTGGTGCGCGTAGTCATTGCAACTTATCATCGACTAAATTTGAAAAATAACAAACTTTCGTCAACGCACACGAAAATTTTTTAAAAATATTAGGTAAATTTAGAAAAGTTATTCGAATCCATAATCAATGTATCTTTGACAGTATTTTTTTCTTGTACTTCGCCATTTATAACTCGAAAACAGTGGGAACAAAATAATTCGTAATGTTTTTCACAGTTCATATCACTAAAAGTTTCGAAATTTCAAGATGTTTCTTTGTTCACTTGTAGAGGAACTTTTGTTTTCTTGTTCAATATCAAACTTTTAGCTTGAGCATTTACAGTGCTCTCATCTATGATTTCTCCTGTTTTGTACATTTGGAAGCGAGTTTTGACGAGAAAAAAGTTTATTTGCATGCAAAGAAAATTTTACAAAAGCACAAAAAAAAATATTTACGTATCACAACAACATTAATTTATTTGTTCACAAAAATATAGATAAAAAGAACACATAGAAAAAAAAAACAATTTTAACAACACAGGTAAGATAAATAAGCAAATCTTTCTTGAAGATAGAAAAAAAGGCTCTGTTCAGCAGCATGCTGTTCTTATTGTCAAGTTCTTTTACTTTTCATTGTGTTTCATCATTGTCATCTTCATTTTCTGATTCTGATTCTGATTCTGATTCATCATCATCATCGACTGTCATTTGGTTAGCCGTTGTGTTCTTAGCTTTTGTTGCTGTTTTACTATTATTTTGTCCAGCTGTTGAACGATCGGCAAGTGTCGTTGCATTCACATTACTTTTTTTTGGTTGTACACTTTTCTTTTTGTTAACCCCACTCGAAGTTGCTCCCATTGTGGTGTTATCATTACTATTATCTCGTTGTGATTCTTTTTGTGATTCTTTTTGAGATGATTTTTGACTTGGCAGTAAGTCACTATGTATGTGAGGTAATACACCGCCTTGCGAGATCGTAACTAGCAGAGAAAACATGGAATCATGACAGAAAAAACGGATGACACAGGAGTCCGATTGCAGCTTACCATGTTGCAATAATTTATTTAATTCTTCGTCATTTCTAATTGCCAGTTGTAAATGACGTGGAACAATACGTTGTTTTTTGTTATCACGTGCTATTTGGAGAATAACGAAATACATCTCAAAATAATGTAAGAAGATAAACAAAATGACTCTTGCTTACCAGCGTTTCCAGCTAAAATAAAAAGTAAAAAATAATCAATATTAAAAATTGTAATGGGCAAGGATTTAATGCAGAATAGATTAATTAATGCGGTTGTTTTGAAACCTTTTATTTGGATATTTTGACCTG